TCTTAGGGTTTAGTGGTTTAGGGTTTCAGGGTTTCGGGTTTAAGGTTTAGAGCTGCCTCTCCGCGCAGGGTGTTTTCTGGGCTCTTTCACCCTAACCCTCAGGGTTCATGTGCTCAAATAAGGTTCCTTTAAGGGAACCTTTGAGGGTTTCATAAGGGTCTAAGGTACGCGGGTCCCTGTCCTTATATAGTATATACATTGGCCTTAAATTAGTTTCTATGTAGGTACTTGAGTGCCAAAGTATATGCTGCATGGGTGCTACATGGACCCTCAGGATAAGTACCCATATAGGGACGTAGTTAAGGCGGAAGTCCAGGTTATGGGGTGCTTATACACCAATGTATGCACTACATGTATACTATATACATGGATCGTTCGGAGGTTCAACAGCTCCTGTGAGGGTTTACCGGCGCCTGTTCAAGGGTTTTGGAAGGGTTTTAGTGTATAGGCAGCACTACATTTAGGGTTTAGGGTTTAGGATGCCCAGTAACCTAGGAATAAAAACGGCTCCCTTTTTGGTGCTGGGTAACTTTATAGGGAACCTAGGACTACAAATAGGGAATAAGTGTTCTACTGGGCGTCCTAGGTTTTAGGGTATAGGCAGCACTACAACATCACGTCGACAAAGACAGATGCCAACATGAACTCCAGCTGGACAACGCAAGGCAAATCCTCAACCCCTTGCTACTTCGAATCCGATTTGACTCCCAACCCGCAAGGCCGCAAACCTATAAAGCCTAGCTAAACCGGAAATCTAAAACCCCAAAGCCCTCAACCCTTGCCACAGACCAGAAGTCGAACCCCCTAGGAACCCTACGTCTTCAACATATGGGTGGTTATCAAAATTAGGGTCCCCTGCTTGGGCACCCTAAATACTAGGTGCCGTACTATACTCGGGACCCAAAAAGGGACCATAATTTTGACAAACACCCATATCAAACCCTAAACCCCCTTTTTGCAGTCCTCATGAAAACCTTTCATGGGTTGGAACCCTTCTTCAACCCGCAACCCTTATGGAACCCGTTGCAGCCAGTACAGGCAGCCGAAAACACGAGAAACCCCAGGAACTCTCCCTCTAAACCTTCCCTAACAACACATACAAACAATAACCTGTAAATACCTATACCCTAAGGGTCCATGTAGCCATATAGAGATACATGGGCCCCAATGTACCTATATAGGGACTACACTAAGGCCAATGTATATACTATATGAGTACATGGACCCTTAGGGATAGTAAGACCCTGAACCTAAACCCCAAAACCCTCGACTAGAATCAGCCCACCTTTCTGCACCCAAACACCCTAAACCCTAAACCCTAAACCCTAAACCCCAAAAACACCCCCTCACAAATCCGGCGGCCCACAGGCCCTTCGAGGAGCTAAGATTAGCGGAACCCTTGGGGAAAAAGACCCTCTCAATGAAGTCCCTGCTGCGAGAGCCAGAAGTAGGGCATGGGTTCGTCTTTAGATTCGCAGTTGGTTCTGTTTCGGATCGTATATGGCAGATGATTACAAGCTAGTCTTTCGTCTCTACTACGTTGGTTAACAAGGGTCCCCCTTTAATGGGTCTCCCTGGTACTGCCCAATATATAAGCCTTAATAATTAGAATAGGGTTTTGGGGCCCCTTCTACTATGTTTGTCTTGTAATATGGAACCCCCAGAATAGTAGAGGTAATTATTGAGGCCCCTATATTAGGCCCCTAAGCCCAACTAACACGCCAAACCTCCCAGCTATACTGAACTTATAAGAACCCTAGCAAAAATGATAATTTTAGCTGTCTCTTAGGGATTATACTAACCAAAAATTAAAAAATATTTCTAAGTACCCCTAAGCCAGAAAACCCCAAACCAGCCGGGCCTTGGCAAAGCCGTTGTGCCGTGCGGAACAGAGGGGGCCGCCGACGTGCACGACCTGAGCAAACCCCAAGGGTCTAGGGTTTAGGGTTTAGGGTTTAGGGGACCCAATAATTAGGTACTCGGTTTTCGGATAGTAGTTATGTAGGTTAGGATTTCGGAGAGTGTATGATTATTAGGTACTTGGACCCTTGGGGAAAGGTCTTTACGGGTCTTCTAGACAGGTTTCTCTCTTCTTCAACAACCGGGTCCCAAAAAGTTCAAACTTTCTAAGATAGAGCTAATATATATGGCTAAAAAGTTTAAAGTTCCCCCGTTCACTATCTAAGTTTAGAGGGGTCTTCTAGACAGGTTCGGGGGTGTTTAGGGTTTGGTCTTTACTGTCTGGTGCTTAGTAGGGAATGGGGGGGATGGGTTATGGGGACTATGATTGGGGATTCTATAAGGACTATAGAGATCCATTACCCCATTCCCTTTTAAGCACCAGGGTGTCTTTAAGGGGCTTCGAGACAGGTTCAGAGGTGTGGGCGGGTTTAGTTGAAGGGTTTAGGGTTCAGGAGTTTAGGGGTTTAGGGTTCCGGGGTTCAGGGTTCAGAGGCGTAGGGCTTTAGGGTTGAGAGTTCAGGGGTTGAGGGCTTTAGGGTTTAGGGTGCAGGGGTTTGGGGCTCTTCTATCCCAAAGACTCCTACTTGTTTTTGTATGTGTTTTCATATATATATATATATATATATATATATATATATATAGGGTGCACTGACCCAAACCATGATAGTAATGCCTACTACCCAAGCCCTTGTCTTTCGGTGGTCGTCTTCGGTTTGTTGTGATCGCCCCTTTCCCTCCTGCAGCTATAGGGGTTTAGGGCCCTTGGGTTTGGGGATTTAGGGCGTAGACCCGAAAGCTCTATACCCAGAAGCGAATCCCACACTTCCTTTCTTCCACAGCCGGCTTGCTTTTTTCCTTCAAAAAGCGAGGAAGCCACGGGCAACGGAGGCCATCAAGAGCCGTTTCAAAACTGCCCCTCTTCGAGGTTTTGAGCTTTTTGGCATGTGTACATCCGGGACACCTTGCCAACCCTGGGCTCAAAATCAAAACGCTTGTGCACAAAACCCGGCAAACGCTCAGACTCTCAAGCCCTCCATGCCAAACCAGACACGACAGACCCTAAACCCTATACCCCAGGCCTTGTTATCCTAAAGCCCTCAGCTCCAAAATCCCTGCATGAGTGAGGTTTCGGAGACTCTTTGGTCTGGGGCTTCCGGTCTAAGCCCCTTTCGGCAGTTGCGTTGGCTAAGATAGGGGCCTCGACAATTAGAAACGGATTTGACTGAGGCATAATTACGGCGGTATAATACACTGTCACTTTAATAAGGAACAAAAGAGTACAAGTAATTCTTTAGGCCCCTGTAGTACTTCCAGGATTTAGAGGAAGCTGTAGGTTGGGCCCATGATGCCTCTGGGACCCTAGGGGGGAGGGGGAGGGGTGTTGGGGCTATACTTCCTTCAATGGGCATTAAAGTCCCCTACCCCTCCTCCCCTACCCCCGCAAGGGTCCCTATGATGAACATATTCGCAAGTACGAACCACCTAACAGAAAACGTCCCAAAGGCCTACCTAGGGCTTACGATGATGCTGTCTATGAGAGTATTTTTGGGGATTATACGGGGGACTACTATAGGGATCCATTCCCCCATTCCCTGCTAAGCACCAGGCCCTAAATCCTAAACCCCCATGCCCCCACGAGGGCTTCGGAAATTGAAGCGGCTCATTTCTACGGCGGGTGTCCATGCCCAGCTTGGTCGCTGTCCAAGAGACTTGCGGGACGACTACGACTCTCGGGCTTAAGTTTCGAGATAGGGGCTGTAGGGCTTTAGGGTTTTGGGCTTCAGGGTCTTAGGTTTTAGGTACCATGGCCCTTAAGCAAGTCAAGGTCCCCAAGTGTGGAGAATTGAAAACTCAAGCAGCCCTCCCTATGGAGAGGCCTTAACCCGTGCGCTCTTCGCAGCAGCCAGGGCTGAAAACTGGAATACGGCAAACATCCCGAAAGGCCCGTTCTTCGCAAAACCTATCTTCTTTGTGGGGCAAGTCGTATTTACGGTTACCTGGACCCCCAACAAAAGTATGTAAAACAATGGCCAAAAGCCTACAAAAAGCAATTATTCTACATACTTTTGCGGTCCAGGTAGCAACCAAACAACTAGGAAAGCAGCTGCAAGAAACCCTAAACCCTGAAGCCATCATCCCCCCGAAAACCGTTGTCCCCAAGGGCGCTGCAAAAACCCAACCCCTAAAACCTGAACCCTAACCCGCGAAATCCTAAAGCCCTGTTTCCGGTGATGTAGGGTTCAGGTTTAGGGTCAGGGGCTTAAGGTTCGAGATTTAGTAAGGGTTTAAGGTTGAGTTTTCGATCTGAGGGGCTTAGGGCTGGGGTTTGAGGTTGTAAAATGCAAAGTCCCCACTATACTGAACTTAGACTCCTCGCAAAAACTGCAGTTTTACCTGTTTCTTATAGGGGTTAAAGGAACCACAGGTTAACAATTATTTCTAACTATTTCTAACTACCCCTAAGCCCAAACTGGTCTAAGGTTCTAAGGTTTTAGGACTGGTCTGGTGCCCGAACGGCGAATTTCACTAGCAGTGTAACCCTAAGGGTCCATGTACTCATATAGTATATACATTGGCCTTAATGTAGTCCCTTGGACCCTTAGGGTAAGAGCTTGATAGTCAGACGAAGATCTTGGGAAGGAACACAGTAAACCCCGTCAGTCCAGGAGCGACGGAGCCTTTTGAGGGCTCCTATCTGCAAGGGTTCCCTATCTACAAAGGTTCCTTTAAGGGATCTACTGATGTAAGGACTATAGGGTCCCTTTATAGTAGAAGCCAGAAAGTTGGAAACCGGATTAAGGCCAAATAGCGCTGGGGATTCCCTCTGCATTACTCTTAAGGATTGAAGATATTGGGCTTCCAGCTTTGAGGCTTCTACTGTAACTGTCTTATACAAAAGCTATGCGGACGATAAGGGAACAATTTAACAAATAAATCAGCGCCTACATGAATACCCCTGCTCCCCTTTACTCCCCCCCCCCACCCGTCCAGCCAGGCGTTGCCGTTCAACGAAAAGTTGAAAGCCTCCGCTGTGAGCTTCACTCGACAGCCAGCTTCTGGATCAGCTCAAGGACCTTCGCTTTGCTCTCATCGCGCACCTGAGAGACCCAAAAAACCCTGAAACCCCAAACCCGTAAACCCTGGACTCTAAACCCTGAACCCCGAAACCCTAAACCCCCAAACTAGAGACCACAGGGCCAGCCCTAAACCATACGACCCGAAGCCATGAAAGGACAAAGCTGTTTGGTAAACGCAGCCGACCTGCCCAAACCTTACCTCAAGACATGCACTCACTCTCACATTCTCTTATTCTCACACACACACACACACACACACTCTCTCTCTCTCTCTCTCTCTCTCTCGCGATTGTGCATACATGGTGAGATTATGCAAGGGAGGTTTACACCGAGGTATGGGGCGAGAGATACAGACATAGATAGGCACATGCGGAGTATGTACCTATGCACATATGTGTATAATATATATATATATATATATATATACATATACATATATATATATATATATATATGCATGCAATAACGCACACCCATGCTTGCACGCACACCAAGGACGACGTCCCTGCGTGCATCGAAGGACTAATCTTTCTGACCACGTTGCCTGTCGCTGCCTAAATAGGGCCTCACCGGGAACGCAACCCAGAAAACGTTACCCAGTTCATAACGTCTCAAGACCGTGCGGCTTCTCAGACTCTCAAAAAGCTCCAAAGAGGATGTGGGTTTGTGGATTGAGGGACTTCGGGTTTCAGCGTTTTGTTTTTTTTGGCCGTCGTCCGGGGATCCAAGGTAGCCACGAATGTTGGACTCGACACACCTAGGTGCTTGGACAACGGAGGTCAAATTTGGGCATGACCCCAAAACCCTAAACCCTGAACCCTAAACCCTACACCCTGAACCCTAAACCCTACACCCTACACCCTGAACCCTGAACCCTAAACCCTAACCCCTATAACCCTAAACCCCTAAACCCTACACCCTAACCCCTAGAACCCCTAGAACCCCTATAACCCCTAACCCTAACCCCTATAACCCCTATAACCCTAAACCCTACACCCTATAACCCTAACCCCTATAACCCCTCTAACATGGGGGAGACCATGGCCCAGGGCCGTGGGGGCCCCTGGGTCCCTTGCACTTTAGGGGTGCTAGTTTATCCTAAACCCAAACCACTGAATTTGAAGGGTTTAGGGTTTGGGTTTGGGGTTTGGGGTTCAGGGTTAGGGTTAGGGTTTAGGGTTTAGGGTTTAGGGTTTAAGGGTTAGGGTTTAGGGTTTAGGGTTTAGGAAGGGTTTAGGGTTTAGGAAGGGTTTAGGGTTTAGGGTTAAATTTGAAGGGGGGGCTATGACGAAGATACCGTCACCCGCTTTCATCAGACAGTTTTTGCTAGTGCCAGCATACAGACAACGTCGGAACACGCCGTCAACTGTATGCATCCACCGTTAGCCAGAAGCAACGCAAGGGATCCGGTACCCTAAGGACGTGGACCTCCTGATGCTGGCGACAAAGCTTTCTTTCTCTACCTATAGTCTCCAATGTAGTTCCTTTTATGGCTGACCAGTTTTATGGTTAGGATCCTGTAATATAATTGTTGGTTAACCCAAAAAGGAACTACAACGGAGACTATAGGTACTCTCCAAACTCATCGTTGTAGACTTAGATAGCCCTGAACTCTCAACCATTGAATTCCAATAAGCCGAACTTCTTAGCTGTGCTTTGCATTAGAGGAGCTCGCCGGTAGGCAGACAAGTCTCCCGGATCAATGGCAGGAGGATCATCCAAGTTCCTTGCTTGAATGGCTCGTATAGGGTTCAAGGCCTACCAGGACCCCAAAGCATCCGTTACAGGGGTCTGGTATTCGTCAAGATGGACTCGAAGTAGCACAGACTACGAAATTCAGGTAGTTGGAAGGTCGGGAAGATGCTAAGTGTCGGACTTCTAGGCATTTAGGCGTCACACCGCTTGGGAATCCGGGTTCTGGATGTGCGACTGCGCCAGGAGCGTGTATAAATGATCAAACATGACCAGACAGGCTGCAGTGCAGCACAGCGGAGGGCGTAATATTCCCTGTGTGCATCAAAGTCGACACCAGCCGATGCTATATGGTCTAACATTAGAACCCCAACGTGTGCGCCCCATTGCTTCGGGAACCGTATAATTACATGTACCCAGAGTGATTATCCGTGCTATGTTCCAATCGTAAACATCTCCAGCCGGACTGAACGTCCTACGGTTGATGATATAAATCCTGCATTACCTGAAGGGCCCGAAACTATGGGAATTACAGTATATTCCTTATTGTGGGTCATGCAGGATTTTGTCCATCAGCCGTAGGATCCCAAACCCGGAAGCCCAAAAACTCAAGAAGACGAGGACACTAAACCTCTATAGATCCCTTATACAGGACCTCTATAGATCTCTTGAACGGACCTCCCTGAAGGTCTAAACCCCTGTCGGCTCAAAGGCACCAGTCGCTGAAGTAGGTGCGCTTCTTCCAGGCTTCCTGTCCGAGAGTCGAAACCATCAACAACCCAAATCAGATTCAGCCTTCCTGCTCCTAGGACGACCCCTAAGGGTCCATGTACTCTTATTTTATATACATTGGCCTTAATGTAGTCCCTATATAGGTACATTGGGGCCCATGTATCTGTATATGGGTACATGGACCCTTAGGGGACTACGACAACGACAACAACTGCAAGCTGCTGCTGCTGCTGCTGCTGCTGCTGCTGCTGCAGCTGCTGCTGCTGCTGCTACTACGACTTACGACGACGACGATTGCGACTACCAGTACATCTCCACCACACGCAGACGACGACTACTAACGGCAGCAATTACCATTGCTGCTACCACGTCATCACGTGTTTCGCTGAATGGACACAAGCGGACAGGGCTTCGGGTTCAGATTTTCTCTGCGTAATGAAACGGCCTCCTTTTGTCCTTTGAGTTGCATTCAAGTATGGAACCAAGGCAACCGAAAGAAGCAACTGCGAAAGGAGGTTTTGGGCGTCCGTAAGTCGTCCGAACTTGGGCCTCGTGGGTCAAGAATTCGGGATGTTCGAGCTCAAAGTTTTGGAATTTCCGATCCTTGCCAGACATCACCTAGGTGGGGCTTTTAAAGCCTTTGAAAAATATTAGTAAGTAAGATCCTCTTAAACCCAATAAGGGAAAATATAAAATGTCCCAAAGCCCTACCTAGTCACTAAAGCTTAAAGCGCTGTCCTTGTCACCATCCAGCTTGCTTCCACAGCCGCAGCAGGAAATCACAGCCTGCAGAATAAACCCTGAGTCATATATCTGAAAGAGCCCCGGCCGACGTCAGCCCTTTGCCACGTCCTCCCCCTCCTCTTCTTCCTCCTGGACCCCAAAAGTATGTAGAATAATGGCCCGCTTATAGGTTTTGGGCAATTATTTTAGCTACTTTTGGGGGTTTAGGTAAGGTTCAGAGCTCAGGTTTCAGGCTTTGCGTGCAGGCCTAGGCCGCCTAGGCCTAGGCAATCCTTCAAGCTCAACTCCCCTAAGCCCACCAGGCTCAAGCTCTCCAGCACCAAACCGAACGGCTGAGGGCTTTGGGTTCAGGGTTCCTTAAACGGCTCTTCTACTATTTGCTTAAGAACCCCCAAAAAATAAAAAATATATTCCTTATGGTGGTAATATAGGGATTATTATTTTTATTTTTTGGGGGGTTCTTAAGCAAATAGTAGTCTTTCAGGGATCAATAGTCTAGGCCTAAGAGTAACCTAGGAATAAAAAGGGTGCCCTTTTTGGTTTAAAGGGGTTTATAAGGGAACCTAAACCTTCAAAAAGGGAATAAGGGCCTACTCTGGGTCCTAGTAGTAGGGTTCTATAATCTAGCTCATGGTTGGGATAGGATTAAGATTTATAGTGTTATTCCTTATTGGGTTTACGTACCCATAAAATTTGAAAAAAGCTACCCAACTATGATAAAGTAATGTAGGGCAGAGGGCCTATGGGGTCGATTCTAGGGCTTTTAGGGGTTCAGGTAAGCCGCTTGAGCGCAGAAGAGCCCCCAAATGGATCCCTATAATGGAAAGGAACCTTTCTCTTTAGAGCCCTTAAAAGGAACCCTATTTTAAAGCCCTAAAGACTCTTAGGATCGAAACTTTCGCGAATCGGCCCCTGAATGAAGCCCTCCATCGCCAAGCTAAGATAATGTAGGAACCTGGTCAAGAAACCTTGGATCTTTAGTACGATTCCTTATATGAATCCTACTATTTTTTTTTTTTTTTGGGGGGGGGGGGGGGGAATAGGCTCAGGGAATCTTAATCAGGTTCGTACATTAGTAACATTAGTAGTGCAAAAGACCACATGTACAGCGTTCGGCGACAAATGGCCCCGGCTAGAAGGGGCGCTAGATGAAAAAATCGCCTGCACCGTTACCATGTCTCTGCCGTGACGGGTCATACGGGAGGCAAGGTATGTGGCGCAGAGTCTCGGTACGGCTTGAGATTAGAACCCGAACGCCGTAATGAACTAGAAACCGCAGGTGCTTGAGCAGGTGATTGAGTAGTATAAACTCTTGGTCGAAGCAAAGCGGATCCTGCATCGTTAGCTCCGTGGCCGGAGTATACACGCTGGAATCGCTCGGGCTGCTTACGAAACCCTTCAACCCGAAATCGCAAGCCTTAGACTAGAAGCGAAGACATGGCAATGTAGGGGCCTTAATAATTAAAATAAGGTTTCGGGGTTTCCTTATTATAATGATGGTAATCATAATATGCCACCAAACCCTATTCTAGTTATTAAGGCCCCTACATTCGCCTGAATGCCAAAACCTAAAAGTCCTACTTGGCGGATCATGCACCTTGGTAAGAAAAGTTAGAAGTACCTTATATCTTACATCTGTTACCCACCAATAATCAACCCTCAAGCCCTAAACTCTTCAGACCCGAATAACCCCAGAAACCACTAAACCCCTAAACCCTAAACCCCTAAACCCCTAAACCCCTAAACCCTAAACCCCTAAACCCTAAACCCCTAAACCCTAAACCCTAAACCCCTAAACCCCTAAACCCCTAAACCCCTAAACCCCTAAACTGTGAGCCGTCTTCGGGCTTACGGTTGACAACGTCCTCAACGAAAGCACCCCGCCGATGCCTCAAAGTCCTGCGGGTTGAAGTCCTTGGTCGCCGGGGTCGTGGTGGGATGGCTTGGGACGTAGATGTCTGGGGTTTAAGGCTTCGTGGGTGTAGAGTGTAGGATTCTGACACTGTGGGCAATGAACCTCTGAAGGGTTTTCTAGACCAAAGAGTAAGCTAGCAATAAAAAGGGGTGCCCTTCTTGCTTGAACAGAGGGTTATAAGGTAACGTAAACCTTAAAAAATGGAATCAGGACCTGCTCTGGGTCCTACGGTTGATGATATAAATCCTGCATTACCTTAAGGACCCTAAACTATGGGAATTATGGTATATTCCTTATAATGGGTCATGCAGGATTTATATCATCAACCGTAGGTTCTCTGTAAACCCTGAACCGTTTAGTGTGTTGGAGGCTTCACAGGGTTGGGGTTTAGGCGTTCTCCGTTTAGACCTGACCCGGACGGTCCAGGTATCTCCTTAGGAGGGTCCGGAATCTCCTACGGAGAGCCCTTGGGTCTCTTTAGGTTCTCAGAAATCCTACATTTTCAGGTTCCCTAAAGTGTTAGGACCCTTAGGGTAGGGTAGGGTAGGGTTTAAGTAAGGCCGAAGGCTTACTCAGTGTCCTGACTAGTCGTGCCCTGTGGATGCATGCTGAACCGAAGAAAGAAAGTGAAACACTGGACACGTTTACCGTCCATGTCCTGAAGTAGTCCCTATGTAGGTACTTTTGGGCCAAAGTATATACGAATTGGGTACATGGACCCTTGGGGTTACAGTTTTGCTCTATTCATGCACTTACCCCTGAACCCTAAACCCTAAACCCACACGCACGACTTCCGGATCTAGCCCAGTCTCTGCCATGGCATCCGAGGTGAAAGACGAGATGTCCACCTCAGGCAGGGTACGACAGTCGTCCTAAACTATCCGCAAAAAATGATACTTCAAGTTATCTAAGTAGGGCCCGGATACTATGTAGGTACATGGGTCCTCAAACAAAAAAGCAACGCCGTGATCCCTACCAACCCTCCATCGCCGTAGCTCCAAACCCCTGAAACATAAAACCCTTTCATTTCAGCTACGCTGCTCCAGCTTCTTTCATCACGGTGATGGCCCCCTCCTTCCTTGGGTCGAAAGGACTTGGGTGTTGCCGATAGTTTGAAGAGTCTTTGTCGGGGTCGTAGTCTGCATAGGTGTTCCAAATGACTCAGAAGGAAGTGTGTCCACGCACAGATCTTTCGGGGGTATACTGAGCGGTATCATTGGTGCAGGGTTCGAGGGCGAAGCTGCTGAGAATGCTTGCGAGGACGCCATGACACCTGTGTAGTCCTATCCTTCCAAGGACCTCATAGTTTGGGCCCTAGACCCCTTAACGGTTGATGATATGAATCCTGCATTACCCATAATAAGGAATATACTATAATCCCCATAGTTTAGGGCCCTTAAGGTAATGCAGGATTAATATCATCAACCGAAGGCCCCAAAAATCGGGTCCCCGGAGGCATAGGGTAGGGCATGTTTCAAGGTAGTGCGTTTCAGGCCTGTTTCGGAGCTCCTGGGCTCTGATTTCTAGAATTCGAGTGTGCGTCTCGCCCTGGCCACGTGCCCCTCTTCGACGAAGGTGAGGGTCCCTCAAGGTTTAGGGTTTAGGGTTTATAGGGTTTATAGGGCTTGTAGGGTTTATAGGGTTTATAGGGTTTAGGGTTTCGGGTTTCGGGTTTAGGGTTTGTGCAATCACAGAAATCCGGTGGTTTCTGAAAGTCTTCTGCTTAAGGTATCAGAGTTCCAGTGACTTCCCTGTGAACGTCTTATCTGGGCTGTGATGAAGGAACTAAACTACGTCATTGATACTACCAGTATTTATGGTCCTTTCGGATTGTGCAAGCCAAGCGTCACAGCTGTGCCACCCACGATGCCAGCCGAGGCGACCCCTACCGAGGCGTTGCCGCGGAGGGCGCGGAGCCATCCATCCTCAGCTGCTTTCTCAACTCAACTCAGAGAACCCCCGGTAGAACATCGAAAGTAGAATCCGTGGCCTTGCAGCCTCTTAAGTAATTATGCAGATTCATGCAAAATTCTTACGTATATACATACATATAACATATTATATATATACACAGAGAGAGAGAACCAGAGAGAGAGAGAGAGAGAGAGGGGAGAGAGACCGCCCTCTGTGAAAGGAGTGCTACATTCGATATGTGACTCCAGGAATGAAAACCTTGTTTCGAAACCCGAAATTCTAAAGCTTTAGCCCTAAACCATATAAGCCCTAGCCTAGCCTACGCCCAATTTGAACCTAGCACTGCACTGTAAATCTGCTATAGCAGCATGGATGCACACAAGTGGATTCTGAGCCAAGAAACCGCCATCTGCGATCGACAGGAGTTGTGATTGCACAGGAACATGACGTTCTTCTTGTAGTGGGGGCCATACCTGCGTCAATATAGGCGCCTTAATAATCAGAGCACGGTTTGGAGGCCCATTTAACGTTACTTACATCAAGGAACAGCCAAAATATGTAACTACTAAGTCCCTATATTGGACAATCCGGTGATTGCCCGTTTGACCACAAATGCCAGCCCAACTACTCCGCCCTCCCTCGACAAACATGGACCCAACCCCCCTCCCACCCCGCCCCCGCCCAACTCGACACATGGTGGAATCAACCCTAAACTCCAAAGCCTTCTTCTCTGAAGCTCGCAAACTCTAACTTAGCAGGTCTAGGCCCATGCCCCCTACAATCCTAATATAGGGGCCTATATAATTGCCAATACTTGGGGTTCCTCATTATACCTATAGTATAATGGGCCCCGAAACCCAATCAAAATTATTAAGGTCCATTGTATTCTTGGGCCTCGGAGGGCTCCGTACAAAGTAACTTGACGAATAAAGTATTTGCTACGAAGGTACGTGGACGGTTGAGGGGCTAGCTGGTGCCGAATGTGTCCAGCCTGCTGTGCTGCCACAGACTAGACCTACATAGCAAGACCTGTAACTCTATATTGAACACAACATATGCTACACCCTGCAGCTCAAAGGCCATGCTTATCCTTCTAATACCCTTTCCTAAACCCAGCCCCACTTAGGGTGTTTCAGGCTGAATTGCTGTTTGAGAACCCGGGATTGCCCAGCAAGCCCAACACGGTTGATGATATAAACTCCGCATTACCTTAAGGTCCCTAAACTATGAGAAGTATGGTATATTCCTTATTATGGGTCAATGCAGGATTTATATCACCAACCGCAGGACACCTCAAACCCTGCAATCAGAAGCCCCAAAACCTCAAAACCATGAACCTGGATCGCGAGCATGGAAACCCCAAAACCTCAAACAAAATCAAAATCAAGAATCCTTGACCACAGGACCCTAAAAGTATGTAGAATACTGGCCTTTTTTAGGTTTTTGGCGTACTATTGTAGCTAAATTGGGGGGGTTTAGGGAACCAACCGACCGGTGAACCCGGCTGATCCCCGACATGCCCAAACTAAATGACTACCAGTTGAGTGGTTGTCAAAGTTATGGTACCTTTTTGGGGTGCCCTAAATGTTAGGTGACGTACTGTAATAAGGACCCAAAAGGGACCCTGCCTATAGTCTCCATTGTAGCTCCTTGTTTTGGTTGACCAAAAACTGTATTATAGGATCCTAACCATAAAACTGGTTAACGAAAAAAGGAACTACGATGGAGACTATAGGTAAACTCTTTTACCTCCTAAGCGCAACCTGAACTCTGAACCTGAGGTCTCAACGCCCGCATAAGCCAGGAACTAAGGCCAAGTCGGATGTCTCAGAAAGCCCTAGACCAGGACCCTATCAACACCAAGCTCTAAACCCTACCTAGACCCGAAGAGTAGGTAAAATCGTGGCCCGAAGCATTATTCTACATGCTTTTGGGGTCCAGGTAAGTCCCTAACCTTGAACTAGGATGCCCAGTAAGCTAGGAATAAAAAGGGCCCCCTTTTTGGTACTGGGGGACTGTATAAGGACCCTAGGACTACAAAAAGGGAGTGGGGGTACTACTGGGCATCCTAGTGAACAAACCTTAAACCCCAAACCCTGAACCCATTATCTGAATCGCTAGCTTTTCGGCTGAGATACGGCTTCTGCAGCGCATCAAGGAGCTCTTGGACCTTTGCTTTGCCTCGAAGGCAAAAGGGTAGGGTTTAGGGTTTCAGGGTTTAGGGGTTTAGGATTTAGGGTTTTAGGGTTTAGGGGTTTAGGATTTAAGGATTTACGGTTTTAGGGTTTAGGGGTTTAGGGTTTAGGGTTTAGGGTCTAGGTCCCCCAAACCGTCAGAAGGATAGCACATAATGGTAGCATATATATATATATATATATATATATATACATATATATATATATATATATATATATATATATACGGGTAGTTCTCAAAATTAGGATCCCTTTTTTGAGCACCCTAAATATTAGGTGCCATACAAATAAAGAGGGATGCATCAGGTTTCTTCAGAGTTTAGGGTTTTGGGGGTTTAGGGGTTAGGGACTAGGGTTCGAAAAAGGATTCTGCAGCTTTCCTACGGGATCCTTTAAGGGGATCTACAGGGTTTAGGGCATAATCTAAGGGGCCCTTAATAATTAGAGTAGGGTTGCATGTAGAGGGTTCCTTCTAAGGGGCTCTATAGGGGATCTGTAGTTTAGATTCCGCAGAGCCACGGTTTAGGGTTTAGGGGTTTAGGGGTTTAGGGTTTAGGGTTTAGGGTTTAGGGTTTAGGGTTTAGGGGTTTAGGGTTTAGGGTTTAGGGTTTAGGGTTTAGGGTTTAGGGCCTTAATCATGAGAACAGGGCTTTGCCTCAGAGGCATTGGGGTAGTTCTCTAACTTAGGGTCCTGCTTTTGGGTCCCTAATGCATTACCGCACCTAATATTTAGGGTACCCAAAAAAGGGACCATTATTTGGACAACCACCCATATGGGAAGGTAGCTCTCTAAATTTGGGTCCATGTCCCTATCAACAACACGAGGGAGCCGTCCACCCAGACCCCCGGGAAAATCTGAAAGGTAGATCCCCTAATTTGGGGAATCTGAAAGGTAGATCCCCTAATTTGGGGCCCGATACTACTAAGGGTACTTTACAGGAACCCCCATTAAGGGATCTACCCTAAACCCTAAACCCTAAAACCCTATAGCCTATAGATCAGGGACCCTTGAAGGAACCCCTAAAGGAACCCTTAAAGGAACCCCCATTAAGGGATCTACTTTTTGGATCCTCCCGGGGGTCTGGGTAGCCCTGCGAACGCCGTGTCAAGAGCAAAAAGAAGAACTCACGATCTCCAAAGAAACCCTAAAGGTCCAAGTACCCTGTTTCCTACTATTCGGCTTGAATAAGGGGACCCTAAAACCAAAAAGGCAAAAGGGTACTACCCAGAGACCTAGTTATCCCTAAAGGTCCAAGTACCCAATAATCATATACTCTCCCAAATATTAACCTACATATCTACTATCCTGAACCCAAGTACCTGACTATTGGGTCCTTTGGACCCTTGGGGAACCCTCAAACCGCCGAAAGAGCTTGGGGCCTTTTAGGGGTTTAGGGATTTAGGGGTTTGGGGTTGAGGGGTTTGGGTTTAGGGGTTTAGGGTGTACGGGTTTGGGGTTTGGGTCTAAGGGTTTAGGGGTTCAGGGGTTTAGGATGTAGGGGTTTGGGGTTTGGGATTCAGGGTTCAGGGTGTAGGGGTTTAGGGATTCAGGCGTTTAGGATGTAAGGGTTTGGGGTTTGGGGGTTGGGATTCAGGGGTTCAGGGTGTAGGGGTTTAGGGATTCAGGGGTTTAGGGTTTAGGGGGTTGGACAAGCTTGGCTTGCACCTGCCAAAGAAATGGATGAGCAACAGCAGTGCTTCTGAATCGGGGTGTGAGCCTGGTCGATGCCCGCACAGCGTTCTTCCAGATCGTCCACGGTGTATACCGCGCCCACCTGTGGCCTGCTAGGTGGAACATACATGTCTCTTTGCAAGACACTAAGCAGCGCCGGGCTTTGGATCTAGATCGAGGAGGTCAGCCGGCATCTCGCGAAGCAGCTTGTAGCGGTGCGTGTCGGTGATCTGGCCAGGAGCACATGCAAGAAGGCCAGAACGAGACTCACTTCGCCCCTGAGGAACGCCTGTCGCGGTTTCGCGAAGCTTTCGACATGCTCTGAGTTGTCAGACGACGAGGGTGCCAGGCTGGTCGGCGACCCGCTTCTGCAGGAGGCGGTTTAGGGGTTGTGGGTTTAGGGGTTTAGGGATTCAGGGGTTTAGGCTTTACCTAGACCCTAGAAAGTAGGTAACATAATGGCCCAAAACCTATAAAAGGCTATTATTCTACATACTTTGAGGGTCCAGGTAGGGTTTAGGGTTTAGGGTTCATGGTCCAAAGGGTTTAGGGCCTTTCCAGGACCCCCGATGGCCCGTAATAGAGCCTATGTGGGCCTTACTAGTGGGATTTTGGGGTATAGTGGAGGGTAGTTGGGGGGTCTAGGTTTAGGTTTAGGGTTTGGGATTCAGGGGTTTGGGTTGAGGCGTTGGGGTTTATAGGGCGTTTCGGGGGTTCGGGGGATTAGGGTTCAAGGACGAATAAATACCGACGACCAGGCCACTCTCGTCCCGCACGCGCTTGTAGGCGGAGAGGTCGCCGGGATCGATGGCCGGCGGGTCATCCAAGTTCCAGTCCTCTGCAGGTTCCCAATTAGGGCTCCTTTCAAAAATCTTATGGGAGTTCCTTATTTAGGGTTCCTTTATGGGATCTTATGGGGGTTCCTTTAAGGTTCCTTTCAGGGATCTTATAGGGGTTCCTTCAGGGTTCTTTTAACAAGAATCTTGTATAGTGATTCCGTTAAGGTTCCTCTAACACTTTAAGGGATCTTTTAGGCAGTCCTTTCCTGAGCACTCCAACATTGAACCCACACAGTGCGACAGGAGTACGTCGGAACCGCAACCCTAAACCTTAAACCCCGGCCGCCAAGAAGCCATGAACATGGCCCGCTTCTTCCATACCTTCCGGACAAATTCTGTAGTCGGATATAGTCTGGGCAGTATCGGGTTTGGCCACCGGCTCTTGTTTCTACAGTGGTTCCTTTTACAAGGGTTCTATATGGGTATCTTCGATGCTACGAAAAGAACTCTATGAAGGTTCATTCAGGCTTTGAGTTTGGTGGGTTGTGAGTTTTCTGTCTTTCCCAAAGTGTCCAAGTACCAATGTCGTAGGTTCTAAGTAGCTATTTGGGCCTCCAAAGTATATACCCTTTCCTTTCAAGGACCTCATATTTAGGGCACTAGATCCCTTAAGGACCCAATAATATAAGGTAACTGGAGGCATTGGGTGGGTTTGGGCTGATTTACAAAGCATGGATGCGGACCCAAGGCTTAGCACGTAAGGTTCAGGGATTTAGGAGCTGCACATGTTCTGAACCCTAAACCCTAAACCCTAAACCTTTGGGCATGAGAAGTTTGGGATGGAGATCGAGCCTTAGGTGTGGTGCGGGCTCACAAGCCCTCAACCACCATAGTTTTCGGTATCTAGCCCTTTTTTGGCAGAACCCTGAACCCCTAAGTCCTTAAAGATCCCATAAAAGGAACATAATAGATCCCTTTAAAGGAACCCTCATAGATCCCTTTAAAGGAACCCCGAACCCGAAAGCACCTCCTTGTCTCCGTCGAGCTTGCTGCCGCAGCCACAGCAGGAGATGACGACATCAAAGTCCTGGGGTCGGAAATCCTCGGCAGCCCGACACACACGGGCTCGGGTTTAGGGTTTAGGGTAACCCGTCCTACCCAGAGACTGCATCCTTTTAGGGTTTTGGGTTCTGCGCCCACCCACTCCTTTCATAAAGTTCAGGGCTTCGCGCCCACCCACTCTTTTTTGAGGTATGAAGGTTTCGTAGACATTCACTATGGTTTCGCAACCTCCCATTCCTGTCAGGGTTCAGGGTTTCGCACCCACCCACTCTTTTTAGGGTCTCAGGGTTTCGTAGCCACTCACCCGTTCTGAATCCTACGCGTGGGGGCGGGGTGGGGGGGGTGGACTAAGCCCTATAAAGCCAAACCCTGGCCCTGTATTGAAGCCTACCCCCTAACCCCCCGCCCCCCCAAACCCTCGTAGAACGCCCATGGAGCCATGCTAGAGTTAGATCTCTGCAGATCTCTGGAAGACTTACGTCAAATGAACCCTTACGTTAACACAATAACAATAGTAACAGTAGCAACAATAATACCAATCATAATTCTACTACCAATAGCAATCAGGTCTCTGTAGATCTCGGGAAGAAGTATTTCAAATGAACCCTTAAGCTCACGTACTATACATAATATAGTAATAAAAAATAATACACATCATAACTCTAGTACTAATAAGAAGGAGCCCCTCAGAAGAAGAACCAAGCCACAGCCATGGCATCTGAAGTGAACTGAGAGATGTCGACGCCGGCATCCTTCATCACCGAGATGGCGCCCTCTTTCCTTCAGGTCTTTCGGGTTTAGGGGTTGAAGTTTGGGGGTTGGGGAAGATGGCGCCATCTTTCCTTCAGGTCTTTCGAGGTTTAGGGGTTGAAGTTTGGGGGGGTTGGGAAAATGGGAAAGATGGCGCCATCTTTCCTTCAGGTTCAAACATTGGGTTTAGGGCTTCAGGGTTTAGCATCTCGGGGAGATAGCGCCCTTGTTCCTTCAGGCTGTAATACTGGGTTCCTTGAAAATCCCCTTCAGAACATTGTAGCAATCTTGAGGGGTGTTCAAGATATGTACGAGCCTCAACCATGTAAATGGGGTTTCGGCGTGGGGTAGAAGACACTAAACATATTGACTGCGACGGATCATTCAGACCACTGCGTTTCCTTAGCTGCTTTCGGGGTGCTTAAGCCTTATCGCTAGCTTCTGTTTTTGGCTCCCGGCTTCTTTAAGGATCCTATAGGATAGAATGCAACGACCCCAACAGGAACCACACTGTTGACCATTTATAGTAAGTATACCCTTGTTCCTACTATTCTGTTTTTATAAGGAGACCCCCCAAACAAAAAGGCAAAAGGGTACACAAAAGGACCTAGTAGACCATAAACTCACGAAGATCCCTTATAGAACCTTTGAGGAGCCCTTTAAGGGCACTGCTCAGGGACTTAGTCCAAGAGTCACAGCCGTACCGCCCACGATGCCAGCAGAGGCAACTCCAACCTGAAACGCTCTTTCTGAAACTGTTTAGGGTTTAGGGTTTAGGGTTTAGGGTTTAGGATTTCTTCGGTCCCAGATAATTACGAAGAAACCAACCCTATCCTTCCTAGGACCTCATAGTTAGGGCACTAGACCCCTCTAAGGACCCAATAATGAGGTGCCTGGAGGCATTGGGAAGGGGTGTGAGAAAGTTTGGTAGAGCGTATAGTAGTGCGTTTTGTAAACACTTTTGAGGATCTTTTGTGAGGGTTCAGGTGCTTTGTTTGAAGACTCCATTCACTGAGACTCCGGCCGAAGCGTTTGCCCGCAAAGTGCGCAGCCAACCGTCCTCAGATACTTTCGGACGTCGTTTTTTTGTCCCACGGGTAGGGGGCTGAACCAGGGGTTCTTATACATTCGAAACGAAATGGGCCGTAAATGGGTTTAGAGTTAAATGGTCATATATGATCATAGGACACAGAGTGTAAAGATTCATAGAACTTAGGCCACATCTTTTTGTCATGGTGCCCTTTAGGTACTTGGCCATTCGTGGTTCGTCAGAAAGTGGGGGTTCAAACTTCCTGTCTTTAAGCTGCCCTTACGTCTTTCTTCGCTGGCCTTCGACGAAAGCCTGCCAGTAACTCCTCTTGTCTTCATTGCATGTGCCTTGTTGATCAGGCGCGCGACTCATCGGTGTATGCTTTTGCAAGGCTACACATGGCTACACATATGGCTACACATTACTGGGCTTCCTCTCTCTGCCTCTCTGTTGGTTTTCTTGGCCTTTGTCCCTGCACACTGCACCAGAAGCATTGTATCCCGAAGCTCCTCGAGCTTTGGATTTCAAATCCATGACATGCGCCAGTCACACCGAGCATCCGCCATCTGAGAGCGGCAGGAGTTGTGGTTGCAGAGGAACATCACGTTCTTCTTGTAGTGGGAACCGTACCTTCGCGGCCAAATCTCTGCGGATGCAAGCCGTGATCCTCAAGCCCTAAGCCACCGAAGCGCTGAAACCCTCATTTGTATATGTTAGAAGGGGCCCCCACCCTGTAATAGTGTCCAGAAGGGTTATATAGGATTATATTAGGGCCCTATTATACTCCTATTATACCGCTATTACAGGGTGGGGGCAGCTTCTAATGTATATGCCCAATAGCAACCCTTAGCCAGCATAGACTCTGGAAAAGACCGCCTGATGCTCGGACCCCCATTATACTCCGTAGCATTCGGTGTAAAAGCTTCCCCTATCCTTCCAAGGACCTCATAGTTAGGGCACTAGACCACTAGACCCCTTAAGGACCCAATAATAAGGTAACTGGAGGCATGGGGTTATATAGGGTTTAGGTTGGCTAAAATTCGGGTTTAGGATGTTGTAAACCAGGTACGGGGGCTATGACCCAGGGATCTACATTGCCGCATGGACAAGCTGCGGTCTGCTCAGCATGTCGAGAAGCTCCTGCACCTCCAAGTCAAAGTGATTTGTGGGAATTTACGACATTTTAGAGCTCAGGGGGGTCTACTAATCATGCGCCAACACTCCAAACAAAGAAAAGGTACCCCAAACATTGAAGCCCCAAACCCGCTAAACCTTAACCCCATACACCCTGCAACCCCTGAATTTAGAGACTTCCGACCTGAAAGCAGGCACTACTTCTATGCCTCATATCTCAGGGATTGGCCGAAAGCCCAGGACCTCCGATCCTCGTACCTTTGGTTGACGGGCATTACTTGGAGGGTCGGGGGACTTGGTAAGTATAGGGAATAAGCAGAGTTATAAGTACCCTAAAAGGGACCCTAATTGGGGTTATGGTACTTATAACTCACTAAAATAACTACTTAGTAAGTCCCCCGACCCTCCAAGTACTCAGGCACCTAAATAGTAGGGTTCGGCTGCGAGCGTGCAGGACATCCGAGCCTTCGTCTTGCACTCATCGCGGACACGCCGGTACCTGAATGCGGCTTAGGGTTCGGGGTTTTGGAGTTCAGGGTGCTTGGGGCTTAGGGTTTGGGGTTTAGGGTAAAGTAGTTTCTACCGGGCGCAATCCGGCTTCTTTGGCTTGGTTGTGCAAGATACCATAAATGGAAACCTTATGCAAGTGAAGGTGTCTTCCTTAGCTAAGGGGCAATATAACTTGGTTTTGGGGCCCATTATGCTATAATGAATAATGAGGAACCCCCACAATAGTATTGGTAATTATTTAGGCCTCTATAGTATGTATGCAATTGAAGCTGTCTTCCTCAGCTACGGGGAATTCCTTCAGTGTCTAGTGCCTTCAGGAGGGTCTGGGAGCCCTTCTTTGGAAAACTCCCCATAAAGGCTTGCCTGGAATGGGTTCCTTAAAAGAGCTCCGTTTAAGCAAACCTGAACCCCGATCCCCGAATCCAACTTCGAGTCTTAACGAAGACAGGTGCTGAACCCTGCCGCCCAAGTTGAAAAGTCCTCAGCCCGCGTCTTTTGCATTACATATCGCAGACACCCAGGTTTCAAACCGAAACCCTAAACCCTGAAGCCCGAACACACGAATGCCCTAAACCCCAAACCCCCGACCCCAATGCCCGCTAAACCCCCAGCCTCTCCTAACCCCTAAACCCCATACCCTAAACCCCAAGCCCCTAATGTAGGGGCCTCCATAATTCGAGTAGGGTTTTGGGGCCCATTATAAGTACAATAAGGAACCCCCACAACAGCATTGGAAATTATTAAGGCCTCTATAGTACGGTTGATGATAAACATCCGGCATTACTTTATCATAAGGAGTATCCCATAATAAGGTAATGCAGGATTCATTTCATCAACCGTAGGACTAGGAACATTAAGCTCTGAAGAGCCCAAGCGGCTCGGAGAGATCGCCGGGATCGATCGCGGGAGGGTCATCCAGGTTCCAATCCTTTGCGGGTTCCCGTTTAGGCTTCCTTTAAGGAATCTTATAGGGGTTTTACCTTTTTAGGGCTCCTTTACAGTATCTTGTAGGGGTGCCTTGGACTCCTTCTGGGCTCCGCTAAGGGATCGTAAAGGGATTCCTCCTCGGTAACGATTGAACAAACTTAAACCCTAAACCCTAAATTGAAACACCCTAAACCCTGAACTCCCAATTACTTATCCTCAAACCCTGGACCCTACGCCCTGCACTCTATGCTATACTATACTATACTGTACTATACTGTACTATACTGTACTATACTATACTACACTGTATACTATACTATGCTGTATACTATATACTAGCTAAACTACATTCCATTATCCTTTACTATATTTGACAGGCCTTGGGCTGAGGATTTGGTGTTTAAGCTCTCGGACGAGGCGTTGAGGATGCGCGAACTCATGGGTTCCAGGGCTTCTGGGTTTAGGGTTGTAAGTAACCCCTTTCAAGGAACCTTATGAAACCCTGTTGTAATTATTAAGGACCCTATATTACCCCAAGGGTCCAAGTACCCAATAATCATATACTCTCCAAAATCCTAACCTACATAACTACTATCCTAAAAACGAGTACCTAATTATTGGGTCCTTTGGACCCTTGGGGTTAGGGAGCTTCTCCGAGCCGAAAGGTCCTCATAGGGTTCCGGGTTCAGTGCTTGAGGGTTTAAGTTGTGGAGATCAGCATAACTAGGATACCCTGCCGCTCCTGGCTTTTAGGGTTTAGGGTTTAGGATTTAGGGTTTAGGGTTCAGGGTAACCTAAGAATAACAAAGGCCTCTCTTTTTGGTATTGGGTAACTTTATGAGGAACCTAGGACTACAAAAAGGGAATAAGGGTACTACTGGAGAGCCTAGATAACGTGGAGGAGCCGGGCGACATCTAAGCGGGCCTCTGACTGGGCCTGTCGACAAAGACTCACTCGCAGATCGCAGAGAGAGAAAGCCAAAACAAACACCAAGAACAAAGCGCTAAACACACTACGCCACGCTTCATAATTAAATCCACTTCTTAGCCCCTGCTTACGACATCCCTCTTCACAAAAGTGACAAACACATAGGAAAACCCAAACCAAGATTCTGAGGCGCGAGCAATGGATCCACGGCGGCTTTGAACGCAAACCAAACAACAGACTCACCGCAGCCCTGGAGCCCAAAGGCCTCACCAACAATCCTTCTGGTTAGGTCTATTGCAAGGGCCTTAAGAGGGAAATAGGATGTGCCGGGCACAGATATCAAGTTTAACTATGTATATTCATCTAGGGGTTTCAAGGAATACTATCGGCAATTCTTCCTAAACCCTTTGAGCAGCTCAGACTCCATGAACACGGTGCGCTTTTTCCAGACCTCCCAGGGAGAACCCCGCATTTAAAGTTCAGGGCCGTTAGGGTTTCGGCTGAGGGACCTAGACCCAACCGCCTCGCAAAGAAGCCGAAGACTGTCAACATCCCAATACCTGATAGGCATTCCTAGCTGTAAAATCCATGGATAACAATGACAACCATTGGAGTACAAAAAATCCGCAAGCCTCAAGCCCCTAGAGCACGAACCCCCCAAACCCTACAGCCCTATCTGGACAGTACAAAACCTACCTACCATTCAAGAACTCGCAAAAGTAAATTAGAACAAGGAGCCCTAAAACATACTAAACTACCTATAGTCTCCATTGTAGTTCCTTTTCGGGGTTATCTTATAGGACCCTAATCATATATTATTTGGTTAAACCAAAAAAAGGAACTACAATGGAGACTATAGGTATATTTATGGTTCAGGTCAACTCCAACATCCTGAAGCTCAACTTAGACTTAGCCAGATCATGTGCCTGAAGATCGAGAAGCAGGATCCCTACAAGTATAAAGGGTTTAGGGTTTAGGAAAAAGTAGCCGTCTTACGACTCAAGAAGTGTCGCTGAAGTCAGTGCTCAGCATGTCGAGTCGTCGTGCTTGAATTCCAAACACGGGCCGATGCCCTGAAACTACGACAGTTCCTTAGAATCCCAAAAAGCAACCCCCCTAGAGTTACGCGCTTTTACGCATCTCCCCAAATCCTGGAGCCTGCGGGCGCCCTAAAAATCACGAAACCACAACCCTGAAGTCGTCCTATGCCCTCTCTTCGAACCCACACCAAGGACGCAACAAGAGGCCCCTGAGACTCAGCATGCGTAGATTGTTTCGCAGTGTAGTGCCCTGAATAACTAGAATCGGGTGTTGGGGTATATTCTACTTTAATTATAAGTATAACAAGGAACCCCCCAAAATAGTATACGCAATTATTCGGGCCGCTAGCTTAATGGGTTTAGGGCTGGCCCTTTCGACCTCTATGGAAGCTTAAGACAACCCTGCCGACTCCCCGGCCCCCAGGTTGCCTGGCACTTGGCTTTTTAAGGGGTTTAGGCTGTAAGGTTTAGAGTTTGGGTTTAGGGTTTGGGGTTTAAGGTTTAGAGTTTGGGTTGTAAGGTTTGTAAAACCAATGGTTCCTTTCAACCTTATAAGCTCGACCCCTGTCAACGCAAGATGCTGACACTGAGAACAGAACCATCCCTAAGGGTTCAAGTCCCTTAAAAGGAACCCGCATAGATCCCTCTAAAGGAACCCCAAACCCGAAAGCACCTCCTTGTCTCCATCGAGCTTGCTGCCACAGCCGCAGCATGAGATGACCACGTCGAAGTCTTCGGCGCGGAAATCCTCGGCTAGGGATCAGTAGAGCTCAAAAGAGTCAACCTAAACCCTGAACCCTGGTAGAGTCATAAATAAGGATTTACCTGTGAATCCCAAGTGTGCAATGGCCTCGTATCTTGAGTCATAAGGGAAAAACTGTAACCCTGTAGGGTTCAGGATGTAATTCCTAGGATACCCAGTAACCTAAGAATAAAAAGGCCTCTCTTTTTGGTATTGGGTAATTTTATAAGGAACCTAGGACTACAAAAAGGGAATAAGGGTAATACTGGGCATCCTAGATTCTGCAATCAGTTCACTGACCCTTTGGATTTAGGCTGCGGGACCTTTTGCTGCAACGGCGAGCTCCACGCAAAGATCAGAGAGCCAAACGGATGAATAAGGAGTTATGTCGGGATTGATGCGGTTGCTTCCGCGCTTGGTAGGCCGCTTCGTAAAGGAAGATATCTTCCAGAAAATCTAGTAGCTCAAGACTATGAGCTAGTGTACTCCTGAGTTACTACTTGTATCGGGGCTCTGGGGAATGCTGAAGGAACAAACATACACCAACTACAAACCAGCAGGGCAGAGGCACATTGATGCAGGTTCGGGGGCCACATGAACTTGATATGTAACGGGCAAGAAGGACACAACCTATGCAATGTTGGGTATGGCGACGTCTAAGTTTATCTGGACCCAGACTGCGACTTGCGGGACTCTTTTGCACCTGTAAAAATAAGCGATCGCAGCTAGGGTCGGCCATTGCATCCGAAGTGAAGGAGGAAATGTCGACGCCGGCGTCCTTCATGACGGTGATGGCTCCCTCTTTCCTTCAGGGCACCGGCTTCACTACTATGGGGGGTTAGGTTTCAGGATTCGAGTCTGAATGGCTCCATCTTTCCTGCAGGTTTCGGGTTTGGGCTGTAAGATGCGGCTTTTGAGCTGGGATCTATCTCATTATGTTGGCTCGAACGGCATATTGAAGGAAACCAACTTGTGTAGAATGCATAATACAGGTCAGAGGCTCTACACTTGTAGCCTACCGTCTTGAAGGATGAATCCAACTGTTAAGATTAATGTGTGAGGGGGCTGCTGGCGTGCCTCGTTTTCTGAATCTCCTTCTGTCACGCTGAAGAAATGACATATGCAATAATCCTCTCACGACTCGACAAACACCACAAGACAGAGAAGCCTAGTTTCCAGACAAATTTACATGCACAAGAAACAATGCAGAGTCAATGGACAACGACACAAGGCATGGTTTAGAGTTTGAGGCTAATGACATTGACATTGGAAAGCCGATGGACAAAGGCCAACAGAAACGGCACAAAGCCTCGAAACGACAAGTCGCATGTCACGGTCGGCCTCTGCACACCAAACCCCCAAACCCTACGCCCTAAAACTCTACAGCCCTAAATTTAAACCTAAACCCAAAGACATCTCAGTTTCAATTTCGATGCGAAGCGTCACAGCCGTGCCACCGACGATCCCGGCAGAAGCAACACCGACCGACGCGGAACCGCGCAGCGTACGGAGCCAGCCATCCTCAGCAGCAGAACCCCAAGGGTCCAAAGGACCCAATAATTAGGTACTCGGTTTAAGGGTAGTTGTTATGTAGGTTACTATTTTGGAGAGAGTATATGATAATTAGGTACTTGGACCCTGAGGGGAATTGGAAGTTGAGAACTCAGGGGGTTTAGGGTTCAAGGAGGTTCTTGGATTGAGAGTGGCTTTTCCGGGGCCCTTACAACAAGGTTGCTCATATATAGAGTTTGTGTTGCGGTTCTTGCGCTTTTTCCTGAAATTGCCACTCACGGTGGGTTCAGGTTTAACTAAAGCATCATTACATCTTGAACTACAAACAAAAATCTGCAATCCGAAGCGAGAAATCGATACTGGAGGGGCCGTAAGAAGTAGCAATGGATTCGGGGTATATTTGTTGTGTACGTCTACGGAGAATGTAAGGCAGCTGGGGGACTCTTAGAAGAAGCCCTTGTTTGAAGCCCACTATGGCAAAGACTGATCGGGCTCATGCAGAACCCCTATCGTGGTTCAGGCACTCTCTCAACTGGCATGCTTAACTTCATAAGGCGGCCTTGCATAGTAGGTAGGCTCGGCTCCTGTCCAGATGGGAGCCGAATGAGCAATGAACTCTGTTAAAGAAGACGGATGTGCATTCATGCAATTGCAAGGCCCCAGAAAAAGGGAACACCTACCAACATGCAATCCTGAAATTACCATCAGAGAAGGAAGGTCACTGGTAGAATTCTGGTCACTCCAATGGAAGAGGCCACGACACCACTCCCCACCCCTCGCCCCGTTGCCATTAGTTAGGGCAGTTATAAGTTGCCCAAAGGCTCCATCGTAGACTTTGGCCTTAAAGTCGTCCCTATATAGGTACTTCGGGACCAAAGTCAAAAAAACATACACTATTTGGGTGGTTGTCAACATTAGAGTCCCTTTTTGGATCCTTATTCTTGCGACCCTAATATATGGGTGGTTGTCAATAGTAGGTTCCCTTTTTGGGTTCTTATAATAATACGGCACCTGATATTTAGGTCCCACGACCATGACTTTGACAACCACCCATTTGGGTGCATGGACCTTGAGGGTTAGGGAGTTTAACAACACCAAAGCGTCGGCCATCTGAGATCGGCAGGAGTTGTGGTTGCCTGGGTCGTTGGCATTGTAGGCAAAGTTTAGGGTTCGGCACTTTTGGCCAAGAAGCTCTGAAGTCTTAATGTAGGGGCCTTAATGATTAAAATAGGGTGTTGGGGTATCTTATACTATAACTGTAATAAAGAACACCACCCAACAAAATAGATTTTGTGTTTATTTAGGCCCCTAGAGCATTCCTACAGTCTTGAACTCTATACCTCAAAACACCTAAACCCAACAAAACCAAACCCCTAAGCCGAAAACCCTGACCCCGATACCCCCAAAACCCCAAACCATGAAGCGCCAGCACTGAAACAACACAGGCCAACCAGACTCAAGCATTTGGTGCATGGCTTTGGCTAGGTTGGCCCCTCAAAGCCTCTGAACATTTTTGGCAAGTAGGATCCTCCAATAACAAGGGAAAACCTAAAATGACCCAAAGGCCTATAGCTAGTTGGGATAGTAGAAATGTAGGAGCAGATTTAATCTTGGGGAGAGTCTTTGCTTGGTATGTCCTACGTACTCCGGAGGGTAAAACCCTGAAACCCAGAGGCCCTTCAGCCCCTGTAGAGACACTCTGGTGGATACAAAGGGTATAAGGGTTTAGGGTTTAGGGTTTAGGGTAGGCTCAAGAAGTCCTCTTTTGACTCCAGGAATATCGAACATTTTTTAAACAGACGATATAGGTCACACGGGGATCGTGATGGCCTGACTGTCACCAAAAGGCCCATGATCGGGAATAACCGAAACTCGTGCTAATGTGAAGAAACCTGATTAAGCAACCGTGGGTCTTTTTTAGGGCTCCTTATATGTTCCCGTAACCATGCCCTCGATTCTCCACCTCCGCGGCTCCGCTCGAACATCCAAACGTTAGAAACTTTAGAGGCGAGATCACAACCCTAAACCTAATAGTGCCGAAAGTCAACATCAGCTTGAAAGAGAGAAGCAAAATCAACTGCCGCCCTATGAGGTCGAGGGCTTAGAGGCTTAGGGCCGTTTAGGGGTTCGGGTGTAGGGCTTCGGGTTTAAGTTAGGGTTTAGGGTTCAGGGGGTCAAGGTTCCGGGCTAGGGGTTTAGAGGATTCGGGGCTCGGGTACGGCTGCGAGCATTCTACTCATTGCCAGGCTGCATAGGAACATCACGTTGAACTTGTACTGCGGGCCCCATGTCAGCGACATGTTGCTGTCCTGGGCACCCAAAACTCTGACCTCAAAACCGAGCTAACCTTAATACCTGTGGGCAGAGGGCTTCCTCGCTCCCATCTACTGCTCCTGCTCCTGCTTCTGCGACTGCTACTGCGACGAAAACTCCTACTACAACTTCTGCTTCTTGACCTAGTACCACGAAGACCTGAGATCCTGAGGCATATTTTTCCGTTGCCTCTCTTCTTCAACAACCGGGCCCCGAAAAGTTCAAACTTTGTAAGATAGTTAGGGCTAATAAATCAGGCCAAACAGTTTAAAGTTCCCCCATGGCACTGTATAAGTTCCAGAGTTTTGGTCGCTGTGGGGATCAGGTGGCTCGGGTTACAGGTAAGGATGCCTCGGCTTGCATACTTGGAGGATCATGGGACTTAGTAAGTAAGGTTATAAGTACCAGAATTGGGGCTATGAGTATAGTTACCCTAATAGTAGCGCTAGGTACTAAATCCCATGATCCTTTAAGTAAGGGTGTTACTAAGGGGTCCTTTTTTAGAGGCTCCAGGTTCCAAGTACTAAACACTGCTTCTATACTTAAGACCCTAAAAAATTCTAGCTGTTTCTTAGTCTTATAGATTACAGGAACCGAAAACTTAAAACTGTTTCTACATACCCCTAAAGCTTTGGCAACTGTCGAAGAGGTGGGGCTTAAGGAACTATTGCTACTGGTTCTGACCCGAAACCCTAAACTTGAAGTCCAAAAAAGACTCTGAAACCCTGAGCCGTGAAACCAAACTAGGGCCCCCAAGAAAGCACATAAGCAAACATTAGGATTGAGCTATCCCATGTAACCCCCCTTTTAATGAAGCCCAATACGGTAGGGACATCCCTATAAAATGCTTATGCTCATGTGCTTTTTGGGTCCTTAACAAAATGCAATCTGAGAGTTTCCGAAAATTGGGGACCCTAATATCGTACCCTAAATACGAGGATCCTAATTATAAACATCCCTAAATACGGTACCCCTATTTTCGGAAACTTTGAACCCTATAAATCCTTTCTAGATACCCTTTAGGAACCCTTAAAGGAACCCTTATGGGTCATCCCCTATAGGAACCCCTTAAAGGAACCCTCATGGGTCCCTAACAAACTGCAATCTGGGATCCTGCATGACCCATAATAAGGAATATACCATAGCTCCCATAGTTTAGGGCCGATAAGGTAATGCAGGATTTATATCATCACCCTAAACCCTGAACCCCAAGACCCTATAGATCCCTTACAGGGAACCCCTTAAAGGAACCCCTTTTTAGGTAGGGACAGGGCACAGGAGCTTCCGACTTCCCCTCACAGGCCCCCATGGCGGCGAAGCGGAGACTTCGGCGGTTTTGGGGGAGTTCTGCCAGAGATGCCAATATCCCTTAATCAAGGAATATACCTTAAACCATAATATTTAGGCCCCCATCATTCAAGGTCCATCTCTCTCTCAGTAGCACAGGGATCAGTTCCCAAATATTCGGGATCACTACAGAGCCAAATGCTTGGGCATCGGCACGGGCAGGGATGTGGCTGTCGTGAGCTTGGGCTTGACGCTTTTCGGCAATGTCTGGGCGCAAGTTTGGAGAAGGGGTTCGTTGAGCAACAATCAACAGCACAAAGGAAGCAAGCAGGTGCCCTAACACTACAATGCATGGTAGAGATGTTCGACCCAAAACTGCGTACACTAGATGCCCTCCGAACCCCCCTAGCCGCAGACTACGACCCCGAATCCCAATACCCCCAAACCGCAAATACCTAGACCCCAGCACCCTACAGCCCAATACTCAAACCCAATAAACAACTGAATCCGTAAGTAAGCACTGCAAAACCCTCTGAAGCAGCTGCAAGCCTAACAAGCAAGCATGCTCCTTAACCCTAAACCTTGAACCCCTTATATAATCCCGAAACCCTAACCCGAAACCTTCCACTTGGCTCCGATGCTGCATCGAGCTGGAGGACGGCGGGAGTGAGCAGCGGCGAATTCCTGTGAAGATGTCTAGGGTCTTCTTGTTTACAATACTGTAGTTTTTTCAAAAAGGAACCCAAGATTTCTATTTAACAAGGCTCCTTCCATGGGTTTCGGCTTTGAAGGACTGAACGCGGCCAGATTCGGAATGTCGCCTTTGGATTCGGGATGTAGTCTCGAGGCTAGAAAGTCTGAAAACAAACACTCTGCTAGTTCCAAGTAAGTTAAGCAGCTTGAACCAAACACTCTTTCTGTGATGGGATGACCCTAAATCCTGAACCTTAAACCCTTTTCCGTATGACGGGGCACTCTTATCTCCAAGCCTTCACTTCACCGGGCCCTGTGTTGCGGCTCATGAGCCAACAAGCACCTATAGTCTCCATTGTAGTTCCTTTTTTGGGTTTTCTTTTGGGATCCTTAATATAAAATTGGTTAAACCAAAAAAAGGAACTACAATGGAGACTATAGGCAAACAACTTTCCTCCCAAAGCCTGGTTAAGGAAGCTTCAGACATAAAGGCCCTTACAGTAGAAGCCAGAAAGTTGGAATATCATTATCGTAACCCCTTTAAGGTAAATTATAGGGGATCCTACCATGAAACCATATTCCAACTTTCTGGAGTTCCCTTTAAGCCCTAAAGCCCTAAAGCCGTCAACCCTGAACCCCGGAACCCTAAAACCCCCAAATCCGATACCCTAAACCCTTGACCCATATACCCCAAATCCTGAAACCCTGAACCCGAAAACTCTAAAGCTTTAAAGGAACCCTTCAAGGAGGCCTCATGAAAGGCGCTGAAATCCTGAACCCGAAAACTCTAAAGCCCTCAACTCGAAACCCTAAACTCTCTCAAAACAGCCCATTCTTCTCAAACACCCTCCCTAAACCCTAAACCCTAAACCCTAAACCCTTTCGCGCTAAGGCCCCGGGCAGCGATTGATCTGAGAAATTCGCGCAGCTCGGTCGCTGGCGGAGCCCCGAGGTGATGTCAGCGAAGACCTGGGCTTCAGGGTCTTCTTAATTTTGGTTACCCAGAGACTCCAATATCCCTTAATTAAGGAATATTCCTTAAATTATAGTAGGGATCCCTAATATGATCCCTACTATAATTTAAGGAATATTCCTTAATTAAGGGGTATTGGAGTCTCTGGGTAGTAGGGAATGTAGGCATGGGGTACAATTATAACTACTATTACTACAATTCTTGACCTACAGCTTCGACCTGGGGTTTGGAGGTACCCTATTCTTCCATTCCCTACTAACCAAAGGTAAGTCTTGTGGGCTTTACCCTAAGGCCCCAAAGTAGTTCCTTTTGGGGTTCATATATAATCTATAAGGTAATCCCCAAAAGGAACTTCTTTGGAGCCTATGGGTAGGGTCTTGTAGGGTTTTGTAGGGTTATGGAACGCTTTACAAGGTGTTTGAAGGGTTGTATCTAGGATGCCCAGTAACCTAGGAATAAAAAGGGCTCCCTTTTTGGTATTGGGTAAATTTATAAGGAATTTAAGACTACAAGAAGGGAATAAGGGTATTACTGGGCGTCCTAGGTAGAGAATAGGAATTACGTAGCTTGTAGGGCCTTATGTAATTTTGTAGGATGTGGCCTGCAAATTGGAGGTTGGCCAAGGCCACCCTTGTCGAAACCCTATAGAAACCCTCATGGGAGTTTCCGAACATAGGGGGATTCTAGGGTTCCTTTAAAAGGCTACTATCAGGGTACTATAAGGGGTTCCTTTAAAGTGCTCTATAAGGGTTCATGTTGGGAGTTTCCGAAAATAGGGGACTCTAATAGAGTACCCTAAAGAGTAGGATCCTTTTATGGACCGCGAAATAAAGGCCCTAAACACTAAACCCTGACCCCCCTAAACCCTAAACCCCTCAACCCGTGCTCCTCCTTGGCCGAAACGGACGTGGCCGGATGTGGCTCCCCCACTCCAGCTTGCATGGCTACAGGGCTACATTGGAGTTTCCGAAAATAGGGGTACCTTATTTTGGGGTCCTTATGAGAAGGATCCTACTATTTAGGGTACTATAGTAGGGTCCCCTATTTTCGGAAACTCCCATGGGGTGCTCAAAGAAGTCCGAAGGGGGTCCAAGCACTCCTTGATGAAGGACAAGGCCCTTCTGGGTATCAAAAGCAATAAAAAACGACTCCTTGGACCCTCTGGGAGGTGGTAATGCATAGTTGCCGAGTTCATTAGCACAAAAAAGTTTAAACTTTCAGTCTTAAGAAGGCTTCATTTTCCCAAGAAGTTTAAAGTTTATAAACTCAGCTACTAAGAATGTTAAATGTTATCCAGGGTGCTCAGGGCTTCTACTAGGGTTCTATAGACATGATCTTTAAGGCTAAGCGTTCCACATCTGTATCTTAAGGACCGGGCAAAGGGTTAAACCCTAAACCCTAAAACCTAAAACAACCCAAGACCTAGACCCGAAACTAGACCCTAAACCCTACAAACAAGCCCCCAAGCAAAGCCTGGAACCCAAGCAAAGCCCAAGATCCCGCCCCCTACACCGTAAACCTGAAGTCCCAAACCCTAAGCACGAAACCCTAAACCTTATGCCCTAAGGGTCCAAGTAGTCCTCATATATGGCCGTGGTGGCAAAAAACCTTAACGATTTATAATGAAGAGTACTTGAACCCTTCGGGATAAGCGCTAAACGTTTTGGGTTTAAGGCTTCGGTGGGCCCTGGAGTACAAAGCCCTCGCGGAGTGAGCTTGACTTCCCCTGACGATAGAAACCTTTAGAGGGACGGAAATAGGGTTAGGCTTTGGGGTTTAGGGCTTGGGTTTTTGGGTCTAGGGCTTGGGGTCTAGGGTTTTTTGTTTTAGGTGAATTGACAAAGAGAGCCGTTCTCCAAACGGTGTTTGTAGAGCGTGCCACTACCTTTCAACCTGTAATATTCGTAAGCCCAAAGAATCTATGGAAACCTAGTTCAGGTTACCGCGTTCCTTAACATGTTCCTGCATGCGCCCTGCTTACTTCGTGCTCCTTTGATGGGCTTCCCATCTCAAGTTGGGTTTAGGAACCCGGGTTTGGAGCATGCAAGTACGGTAGATAACTCAGCTTCGAGGGAATCACATGCCCCCATAAAACCCTGGAGCCCCACTGCACCACAAAACTCAGCGCCCCGCAACGGCACCCAAACGACGAGCAAGGTCCTTCAAAAACGCACAGCAACAGGGCTCTGTCGAAGCTTAGAGCGTTGGGAATTCAAGGCTTTGGGTTACAGGGTTTCGCTGTTCAGGAGGTTAAGAAGGGATTGCAAGAGTTTAAGCTTAGTGGTTGGGGCCGGAGGGGAGACTTTTGGCAGTTTGGGATTTAGGATTCTGGGGTCCAGATAGATACCTTTGCCGAAGCTTTTCACATGCTGCTTTGGCCTAGACGTGTGAACTACTGTGGCCTGAAGGATATAGAGGGGGGGCGTCGTCTAAATAAACCGATTTGTTTCGCCTTACAAAACGTAATTTATGGGAGTTGTATGGAACTTCACAGGGACTGTCAGGACAAACGCCTACATCTACGTGAACAAGAGCTAAAATTCGCAACCCGGTATGTTTCAGACACAAGAGTTGCTGGCCCGTAACAACAAGTGGTAACAAGCGACAGCGAAGCGGTCGCAAGATCCGTCGAAGTCACAAGTTTGAGGACAAGCCAAATTCCAAGAGAGGTCCATGTGCCAGCCAGTCGTCTCGTCAGTTGTTGCTCCCGGCTTCATGCGTGAGCATCCCTAAGGGTCCATGTACTAATATGTATATGCATTGGCCTTCATGTAGTCCCTATATATGTACTTTAAGGCCATTTATCTCTATATGGACCCTTAGGGCATGTCGACCTTCCAGTGTTGCGAGCCTCCGCATTTATCAAGAACTCCATACCAAACCCTAAACCCTAAACCGAGTAGAACGACCCCGGCATCTTCTGCTCCCGTCAGAAGCGTGAGGGCCTGGTTTTCTTGGCTCTGAGCCCTTGCGCGGGCGTGTATAGAGTCCCTATAAGGCTCCATGTACCCAGATAGTCTATACTTAGGCCTGCCTTAAAGTACCCATATAGAGACCCCTTTAAGGCTTAAGTATCCGTCGTCCCTGAAGGCTATACTACACCCTCAACCCCGAACTTAAACGAAGCATGCAAAACCAATCGCTGCCGCAACGAGCTTCCCAGAAGAAACTGTAAAGCTCTGAGGCCCGAACCCCAAACCGAAAACCCCAAAACTCTAGAATTACCTACAACCTCCATTGCAGTTCCATTTTGGGGTTACCTTATTGGATCCTTAATATATATATAGATGTGGTTAAACCAAGAAAAGGAACTAGAATGGAGACGATAGGTAGGGTCTAACTCCCCTAAACCCCAG